CCAACGTCTGGTTGACTGCGGCCTAGACGGTCGGGAATCGCTGTTCAATGGTTCGCAGAGTCTTGGTTGTTGAGCACAGGCAGACTAAAAGCCGGTTTGGCCGGGCTGCCGCCAGCCATCCAGGTTTTCGCCGCGCAGCAATCCGCTTGCGCATCAGCTTGAGCGCGGTGGAAGAGGCATCCTGCGCGCAAGAACGACTCCTCAGGTTAGACGAGAAGGTTGCGCGTGCGTCGTGGAAAATCCAGACGGTTGGACGCCCTTCGGAAATCGGCGCCGCGGCCTTGCTTGACTGCCCGCCGGGGCTAATGGGCTGACGGCCCGCTTGCCGAGCACCGGTGGCTATCAAATGTTTACTACAAAAGTGACTAGTGCAAGAATTAGCGACATTCGCGTTCGGTGTTGGAATTGTGCGCAGGATGGCGTGCGTCTGTGTGTCTTTTGCGCTGCTGGCGATGACACTGGTGATGGGTGGCTCTTGGTGCTGCTGACTGTGGACTAGCAGCACGGTGAGGTAACATGTGACGCTTTTGTTTCATTGTTTACTTCTTTTACCTGTAGCTCATGCCAAGTGATGTCTGACTCTTCGGTGAAAATTGAACAATTCCGTGGTTTTGAAGTGTCATGAAATGTCATAGTGGCTGCCAGGTGTTCATAATTTTCTTACACCAATATTGGGGCGAATTCAACAACTTGAGGTTGCGATTTACTTTGCTCAACCTATGTATGCTGGTTCTTGCCAGTAAGAGACTGTCAGCTAAGCTTGAATACACGTGGTCTTTGTCAATGCAACGGGCTGGCCGTTTGTCAACTCTCCTTGGAGGGCCATCTCCCCCCCCCCCCCCACTCCGTTTTGCGCAACTGCCGTTTGGTCCTGTTTGCGCACCTGCCCCGCCCAGCGCGGCAAAAAATCACCACAAAAGCTGCCTTTGTAAGGCCTCCAATGAGACTTTTGAGCCTGTTGCCTCTCAAAAAAAGGGACCACCTTTGAAAGTGAGGACTCCTCGCCTTTACTGGCTAAGCACGCCGAGCCAACCCATTCACCCAAAAACTATCTTGCCCAAACCGCTGGCCTTGAAGATTGTGTCAGAGGGATGCGTCCGCTCCTAGCATCTCCCGCAAGGCAAAGGAACTGGCTGGAGCGTCAACGGTGATGGCGTTGTTAAGTCGACCGTTGGGTGCTTAAGCTTTTCTAACCTTCGACAGCGAGGCACAGAAACAGGGACAGAAACACCTTTCCGACACGCGGCCCGTGTTTTCTGTCTTGCCCACAACCGGTTTCTTGAATCAGCCCGATTGCGCAAGTGAGATACCAAACAGAGCCTAAACAATGATTCAACTTGTGCGTCTGCTTAGCGTCTGCGCGCTACACACACTCCCAGCAAGACCCGGATAAAACTGTGACAAGCCGCAATCGGCGAGGAAGCTGCAAAAAGCCCCAAATGCATCACACCAACTGACCATACGTGACAGAGAGTTTAATGCTAACTCGGGAGTAAAAAGCCATCCTAGCATGGAGCGCTCTGCCCACAGGAGTGAAGGAACCCCGCTAAAAGGGGACGCCAACTGGTAATCAAGGAGGGGGCGTGATGATTTCGCGAAACCTGCGGCGTGACCCGAGCCCGAGCAATGCGGCACTTTGCGCGTGAAAACGGCTCTCCGGCGGTAGTAGGCTGTGGCGTTGTGCACCGATTACAGAATCTGGCTCACTTAACTTAAGTGATTGACTGGCTTGCTTGTTCTTGACAAGTAGCTGCTACAGTAACTGTTTACGGCGTGGCCGAGACATCCATGTAGCTAAGTGGTTTGGTAAGCCTTAGCTAAGTACGAAACTTGCTCGTTCCACCGTCTAACATTCCGCAACTTCGTCACTCAGCTTAAAGGCTATTTAAACGGAGTGGGGTTGGAGACCGCGCACTCTGTATCGCAATCCAACGAAGCCTCTGGGCACGTTCCGGAGGTCGACCTGCATATGAGCATTTGTGCGTTTCACTTTGCTCGAACCATCTGTGGCCTTCCGGAAGCTCAACTTTCAAATCGTGTTTTGTGTTTTCACTTTCGGGTGAAGAGAAAGATAGAGATAGAGAGAGAGAGGGAGGGAGAGAGAGACAGAAAGAAAAAATAAATAAGTTCATAAATAAAGAAATAATTCAAACAAGAAAGAAAAAAGAAACAAAGGAATAAATGATGCAAGACGCAAAAAAGCACAAAGAAATACAGACAAGAAAATTACTTCGCTTCGAGCAATCCCCACCCTCCACACTCACGAGCTTACGACCGTTACAACAAATTCTTCCGCATCCTAGAGACTTCGACTCCAAATCCCCCCGCAGCTGCCCATCACAAATGCAGCAGGCCGCGTGCCATGCCAGAAGCGCGCCACGGCAGCGTAAACTAATTGTGGCCTATGGCTGCTAAAACAAGCTTTGCGTTGAGAGCCTTATCCACCTGTCTGTGGTCAAACTCCACTTGTCCGCGAGCCGATCTCGAGAACTCAAACATATGCGCCGGGCGGCACATTTTGCGAAACCAGACTGGCGAGCTGCTCTGGCGGGACATTGGGGGGATCCACTGGCGAATGCTGGCGAGCCTCTCCGGCTCAACACTGGCCGGATACTCGGCAGGATCCACCGGCAAGGGATACTCAGCGGGATGCTCGGCGGGATATTTCCTGGCAAGCTACTCTGGGATACTCTGGCGGGATACTCGGCGGGATCCACTGGCGAGCTGCTCTGGCGGGATACTGGGTGGGGGCGTGGTGTAGAAGCATCGCAAACGCGGATTCCAACATAAAATTTAACAACCCCTTCCTGTCGGGTTGGGAACAACACAGAATAAACAAATGCAGAAGTGAAAAAAGAGCAAGAGAAGGAGAGAAGGAGAAGAGAAAGAGAAGGACAACGATAAAGATAGAGAAACAGAGAGCTACAATGAGAAAGAGCAAAAAAAAAACAAGGAGGAAGAGAGAGAGAGAGAGAGAGGGAGTGAGAGAGAGAGAGAGGAAAGCAGAAAGAAAGAGAGAGAAAGAGAGGCATAGAAAAAGAGAGAGGGAGAGAAGGGGGAAAATGACGATGGCCCCTGGTCAGCAGTGTTCTCATCAACCCCCCCAGCCTGAGCGCTAAAATCCATGGAGGCGGCCCTCGACAGCAGAGTGCTGCAACGTGAATCCCTTTAAAATCCGCAAATTGTCAAGCAACAAGTATTGCTTCAACTGGCAAAGGGAAATGCAGGGAGGCTGGTCTCTTGGCCTTCCAAGCAAACCTGCATTTCTGAGTCCTGGAAGCCATGCTCAAAATTTGAAACCATGATGCCAGGGACAAGCCTCGAAATGGTTCGACAGCCACTGATGCTCACTTCGCCTCGCTCTGATTTTCGAGGAAAGACAAAACAATTGAAGGAACATCCGCAGAAACAAAGGGCTGCCAACCTGAAAACCCTGCTAGAATCTTCTAGTCTGGGGGCCCACGCCCATACTTGGTCCACCACACGCCTGAGGCATGCACACCCTGGCTCTTGGGAAGATGACAACTCGCCGTTTTCCGCGATCTCATTGAACGCCATTTGAAGCAAGGCAATCCTCCCTTTCAGGAAGGAGACAAGCTCAATAGGACCGTTTCTATTCTTTCCCGCAGCAACCACCAAGACTTTTGACTAGATAAATGAGCCTGCTTGCCGCTCACAGGGCCTTGCTTCATTGTTCCGTGAATTGTACAGCAACTCACCACCCAAATAGGGGAAGCCCCCTATGACATGAACCAAATCATTGGGCCCTAAATCCGTGCAAGAAAACCACCTGGCAAAGTTGCCCGATCAAATCGCTTCGCGACTTTGCCTAGTTTGCATTGGCTTGCTCGCTTTTGAACCCTCTCCCACCTTCAGCCGTCAGAGCATGCGCCTGAGCTGAGATGACTCTCCACTTTTGCCCCCCCCCCAAAAAAAAGCACACGCCATTCTGAAAGGATGGGTTCTGCGGAGGAACCCATGTGAGTCTGCATGGAATTGCTTCTAGTCTGCTTCAGGCCAACCCCATCTTCAGCTCTCAATGCGGATGCCAGGGACGGTTTTAGTTTTGAAGGCGTCGCTATCAAGGCACAGGCCGCCACTCGACCGCGCGCCTGCTTCTCCATCCGGAAATTCGAGGCAACTGCGTTCCGTTCGGGCGCGTTCCGTTTACGGCGCTGTCTCTTGGAACTGCCGTGCATTGACACGGGGAGGTGTTTTGTCGGGCGCTGTGCACGTCTGGATGTCTTGTGGTTTCGCGGACAGCTGCGGCATGAGCCTGGTGCCCATCCAATACATCTGTGACCAAACCCAGAACAATTGCATAGTCTCCACAGTGCTTGATTATCATGTCGGAAGTAAACGTTGAAGACATGATCTTCCTGGCAAGTTCCTCACGCTGGAAAGCGCCGTGATCCTTGTCAAGACTTGGCCAGGCATCAGCCTCATGTACAGCACACAGCATCCACACACCTGCATAGGAGTCACTTTCAAAATATGTCCGTTATGGAACTGCGAAAACATGCTTGTTTGTGGAAGATTTATTGGTGAGTTCCCGCAAGTCCCTCCCGAATCGGCCATAGGCTACTGGATGTTTTGAGCAAACCCTCATTCCGCTCGAGCAATGCCAGGTTCCTTCAGCCACATGCTCCCAGATTTCACCCTTTGAAAAATACAGTAAATCTAGAAGAACAACAGAACACGTGTTCCAAAAGGGTGGTGTCCGCAGTGACGTCAGTTTGCCATGTCTAGGGCTGTGCCTCAGAACACAGCGCCTTGGAAAGAGTGATTAAGCCATGGGCGGTACACGTAGGCCTTTCCAAACAAGCTTCCGTTTGCAAAGTTGCCAGAGTATCGGGCTCTTTTGACGCGAAAAGCAATGTGGTCCAGTGACGCCCACCAGCCATGGGTCAAACTTCACACCAGCCAGGTCAAGTCGCAGCTGCAATGAGAAAACACTCAGCGCAAAACTCATTTGGGACATCGAGTCGTGTGTACAAAGCGTACAAGCACCGCTGCGCGACGCTCCGACATGCCAAAGCCAGGCAAGATTGGGCTGAGGGGACTTTTGAAGCCCCCAGTTCCTGGAGTTTCATTCACATTGCCGCCAGCACTACCATCACTGCCCTCACCATGTATCACTGGCCTTTGCGAACCGAAAAAGATCCCCCAGCATCGCAGCACAGCAAGTCGCCGATGTGCAATCGCGCGCCCGGGACAAATTGCGCGCTGAAGCATACTTATTACTCTCCTGCCTCGGCGGAGAAAAGCCCCCGATCATCCGTCCCCTTTTGAGGCCGAGGCAGGCATCTCCCAGCTCCCTCACTGGAAGATGGCAGGTCCTTGGATCACATCAAAGAAACATTGGAAACAATGGAAACGGTTGGGCGTATATATTTCGGAACTAGAAGAACCAACATGACAAAACAGGCAACATAACAAAATAGCCGGTTGCACGAGGGCCAGCATCTGAAAACCCACGCAAGCCCCAAAGAAAAAGAAAAAGGCAGCGCGCTGCATTCTGGAAAGATGGTGGGCTCGTGTGTGTGTGTGTGCAAACACATATGCATGTGTGTACATCTGGAATATGTTTCTGTAAGGCAAAGCGTTGCAATATGTGTGTCTTCAGCTTTCTGCGCCTTTCTCTGTTTGCTTGCCTATCTATTTGCCCTTTCTATATTCATGTACATTGCGTTATCCAGGTCTGCAACCGCCTCTCGAGACTTTGCCTTGTGAACTCAGGAACGGACCACCTTGTGTTGGGTAGTGCCCTTCAGGCGGTGATTTGGTTTGCATGACCTGGCTTCCCGATAAGGCCCGAAGCAATACGAAGCAATAGCTTAAGCTCATGGCAAATCCCAGACATGTCGGAGATGAGTTCAAATGAATAGCTAAATCCAGCTGGCGAAATCCTTGCCAAACAGCGGAATCAGTTTGCCAAATCCGCCGACCCCCCTGCCTGCAAGGGGAAGGCGCTGGGGGAGTGTTCGTTTAGCGTTGGAGCGTGACTGTGGCAGCCTTCTCCCTTCCCTTTCGCCCTCGCCCGTTCAGCCCTGTACCTTACCAGCCTTCTTTCTTTCCCTTTTTTCTTGTTCTTCTTCGTTTCTTTTCTTTCCTTTTCCTTTCTGCTGCCGGCGCACTCCTTTGGTTGGTGCTCGCTGTAGACAAACGAGTGCGGCCTGGAAAAGCGCGGGAAGCGAAGCTTTTGTGGCTGGCCGCTCCCTCTGGACCGATAGCCTTGCTGCATATTGGACTCAAACGCGACGTTAGGCACCCGGCCGCGGCGGAGCAGGCTGCCGGCGCACTCCTTTGGTTCGTGCTCGCTGCGGCGAAGCGAGTGCGGCCTCCAAGCGCGCTGGACGCGAAGCTGTTCTTGCTGGTCGCGCCCTGGGGACCGATAGCTTTCTACTTTCTATATAGGATTCAAAAGTGACGTTTGGCACCCGGCCGCGGCGTACCAGCCGGTCTTGGCAAGACGCACAGCAAACCCAAAGGGATGAAAGACCAGGGAGAGGCAAACTGTGACAGACGCAGGCGCACATGGGCATGGACAGGCCGGGGATTGAACCCAGCCCCTCTCGCATGCTGAGCGGGTGTGATACCACTACACCAACTGCCCCTGAGCTGAGCAGGCCGAGAGTGCTCAAATACCTGCTGCGCATAGCTTTCAGCGCTGAAGCGGTCCAGAGGGAGCGGCCAGCCACAAAAGCTTCGCTTCCCGCGCTTGCGCCGGCAGCAGAGAGGAAAAGGAAAGAAACCAAAGGAGTGCGCCGGCAGCAGAAAGGAAGACTAGAGGCCGAACGGGCGGGCCCGCACTCCTTTGCCCACAGCGAGAACCAACCAAAGGAGTGCGCCGGCAGCAGAAAGGAAGCAAAAAGGCCGGACGAGCGGGCCGTGACAGAGCTTCAGCGCTGAAAACTGTGCCCTGCAGGTGCTTGAGCGCTTTTCCAGGCCGCGCTCGTTTGCCCACAGCGAAAAAAGGCCGCTGGACGGACCGATAGCCTTGCTGCATATTGGACTCAAACGCGACGTTAGGCACCCGGCCGCGGCGGAGCAGGCTGCCGGCGCACTCCTTTGGTTCGTGCTCGCTGCGGCGAAGCGAGTGCGGCCTCCAAGCGCGCTGGACGCGAAGCTGTTCTTGCTGGTCGCGCCCTGGGGACCGATAGCTTTCTACTTTCTATATAGGATTCAAAAGTGACGTTCGGCACCCGGCCGCGGCGTACCAGCCGGTCTTGGCAAGACGCACAGCAAACCCAAAGGGATGAAAGACCAGGGAGAGGCAAACTGTGACAGACGCAGGCGCACATGGGCATGGACAGGCCGGGGATTGAACCCAGCCCCTCTCGCATGCTGAGCGGGTGTGATACCACTACACCAACTGCCCCTGAGCTGAGCAGGCCGAGAGTGCTCAAATACCTGCTGCGCATAGCTTTCAGCGCTGAAGCGGTCCAGAGGGAGCGGCCAGCCACAAAAGCTTTGCTTCCCGCGCTTGCGCCGGCAGCAGAGAGGAAAAGGAAAGAAACCAAAGGAGTGCGCCGGCAGCAGAAAGGAAGGCTGGAGGCCGAACGGGCGGGCCCGCACTCCTTTGCCCACAGCGAGAACCAACCAAAGGAGTGCGCCGGCAGCAGAAAGGAAGCAAAAAGGCCGGACGAGCGGGCCGTGACAGAGCTTCAGCGCTGAAAACTGTGCCCTGCAGGTGCTTGAGCGCTTTTCCAGGCCGCGCTCGTTTGCCCACAGCGAAAAGAGGCCGCTGGACGGACCGATAGCCTTGCTGCATATTGGACTCAAACGCGACGTTAGGCACCCGGCCGCGGCGGAGCAGGCTGCCGGCGCACTCCTTTGGTTCGTGCTCGCTGCGGCGAAGCGAGTGCGGCCTCCAAGCGCGCTGGACGCGAAGCTGTTCTTGCTGGTCGCGCCCTGGGGACCGATAGCTTTCTACTTTCTATATAGGATTCAAAAGTGACGTTCGGCACCCGGCCGCGGCGTACCAGCCGGTCTTGGCAAGACGCACAGCAAACCCAAAGGGATGAAAGACCAGGGAGAGGCAAACTGTGACAGACGCAGGCGCACATGGGCATGGACAGGCCGGGATTGAACCCAGCCCCTCTCGCATGCTGAGCGGGTGTGATACCACTACACCAACTGCCCCTGAGCTGAGCAGGCCGAGAGTGCTCAAATACCTGCTGCGCATAGCTTTCAGCGCTGAAGCGGTCCAGAGGGAGCGGCCAGCCACAAAAGCTTCGCTTCCCGCGCTTGCGCCGGCAGCAGAGAGGAAAAGGAAAGAAACCAAAGGAGTGCGCCGGCAGCAGAAAGGAAGACTAGAGGCCGAACGGGCGGGCCCGCACTCCTTTGCCCACAGCGAGAACCAACCAAAGGAGTGCGCCGGCAGCAGAAAGGAAGCAAAAAGGCCGGACGAGCGGGCCGTGACAGAGCTTCAGCGCTGAAAACTGTGCCCTGCAGGTGCTTGAGCGCTTTTCCAGGCCGCGCTCGTTTGCCCACAGCGAAAAGAGGCCGCTGGACGGACCGATAGCCTTGCTGCATATTGGACTCAGCCGCGACGTTAGGCACCCGGCCGCGGCGGAGCAGGCTGCCGGCGCACTCCTTTGGTTCGTGCTCGCTGCGGCGAAGCGAGTGCGGCCTCCAAGCGCGCTGGACGCGAAGCTGTTCTTGCTGCTTGCGCCCTGGGGACCGATAGCTTTCTACCTTCTGTATAGGATTCTACAGTGACGTTCGGCACCCGGCCGCGGTGGAAACAGCCGCCCTTGGCAAGACGCACAGCAAACCCAAAGGAAAGAAGAGCAGGGATCGGCAGACTGTCCCAGACGCAGGCGCACATGGGCATGGACAGGCCGGGGATTGAGCCCGCCCTCTCACATGCTGGGTGTGATGCCGCTACACCAACTACCCCTGAGCTGAGAAGGCCGAGAGTGCTCAAACACCTGCTGGCCGCAGATTTCAGCGCTGAAGCTCTGTCACGGCCAGCCCGTTCGGCCTGTCTTCGCACTCCTTTGGTTGGTGCTCGCTGTGGGGGGCAAACGAGTGCGGCCTAAAACAGCGCTCGAACACCTGCAGGGCACAGTTTTCAGCGCTGAAGCTCTCTCGCGGCCTGCCCGTACGGCCTTTTTTCTTCCTTTTTCTCCTTTTCTGCGCACTCCTTTGGTTTCGTTCCTTTTCCTTTCTGCTGCCGGCGCACTCCTTTGGTTGGCGCTCGCTGTGGACAAACGAGTGCGGCCTGGAAAAGCGCGGGAAGCGAAGCTTTTGTGGCTGGCCGCTCCCTCTGCACCGATAGCTTTGCTGCATGTTGGACTCAAATGCGACGTTAGGCGCTCGGCCGCGGCGGAGCAGGCTGCCGGCGCACTCCTTTGGTTCGTGCTCGCTGCAGCGCAGCGAGTGCGGCCTCCAAGCGCGCTGGACGCGAAGCTGTTCTTGCTGGTTGCGCCCTGGGGACCGATTGCTGTCTACTTTCCATATAGCACTCCTTTGGTTGGTGCTCGCTGTGGGCAAACGAGCGCGGCCTGGAAAAGCGCTGAAAACAAGCAAACAAGCAAGCGAGCGAGCAAGCCAGCAAGCCAGCAAGCCTGAACCAGCCAAAAGCCGCTGCCAGAACAAAAAAAACCTGGGCTGGCCCCCAGCGGAGGGGTCGGCGGCACTGGGCGGCAGCCCTTAAATATCTCCTGGGGCTCCCTGCGAGGTGCCGGCTCCTTCACAAGGAGCTCCGGCAGCCAGGCCTACATGGGAAACCACGTGGCCAAAGAACTTCTCCCCTCGCTGCACATGATCATGGAACCCAAAAAGGGAGCTCATCTTTTAATGGATAGCTTTTTGGGGTAGGTGAATCTGCAAAATAGTGCTTGTGGCTGCCTCAGAAGAGCGGCCGAATTACATGATGGACACATGAAGGATAGAATATGGTTTCTCAACCACAAATCCATAGACCTTTTCAACCTCAAAGCAGAAGTGATTCAGCCGTGCCGCATTTAGCACTTATTCACTCCATTCAATGGTCCAGCGTCTTGACGATTAAAACTGTTGAGGAAAACTCTCCATAAGCGATCGCCTGGTAATGAGGCGACCCTTGATGCTAATGTCTGGGGCCCTTTCAGTGGACATTCAGTCACAGGATCCTTCAAAGAGACAATCTAGCCAAGTGAATCAATTACACGTGGCATGATCACAGCAGAAGCCCGAAGAGATAGACAAATATCTCTCACAAAGTGAAAGGCGGAACAAACCGACGAGGTGCCGAGTCTCTCAGCTGCACGTGTTGCAAAACTTGGAGCTCGCTATTTGCTTCATATGACGGAGGGGGGGGGGGGGGTGTAGGGGGCGTATCATGTGCGAATGTGATTTGTGTCGATAAATTTCATCTAACAGAAGTTCACACACACACAGCGATTCGGGTTTGCAATTTGTCAAATAGAGATATCTACCAGCGGCTTGTCGTTTTCAAATACCTTGATGTTGAGTGTGCTGAAGCGTTATGTTTGCGGGCAGCCTTTTTATATCTTCCAGGCGTGGAGAATTCCAAATGTCGGTTTGTTCCATCACTTGTTTTTGTTTGGTGCTACATATTCCAGGCGTGACAAAAGGGTAATGATCATTTTAAGTATTCGAATGTTGAGAAAGGGCCCACCTCATCAAAGCACCAGTGGCAAACCAACGAGCGTGTTTCCAGTTAAACTTGCAATAAATGAATCTACTCCGCACAAATCACCACATAGAACTCATAGAACATTTAAACACAAAAAACAATGACAAAACCAACAAAACGTGAGGGAATAATTTCCTACTCAGGTTCTAATTGCAGCTTAACTAAATTCCGGTTGGAAAGGAATTCCTAGTTTAGTTCCGATGTGCAATGAACAGTACAATAATGGTTTTACTTAAAATGGTTTTAAGGTGTACTTTGCAATGCAAATTATCATTGTATGTTGAGTTCAATCCCACTTGGAAAGGAATTCCTATCCAAATTCCAACTCAAAATAGCACTTTCAGTCCTTTTCGGAAGGAGTTCCACTTTAATTATTGTTTAACATGACATGTCTTATCCCATGTTAATTTGGAAAGGACCTCCTATGTACATTATGATTGCAACGTTGTTCTACTTCAGTCCAGATCCACATCCTATTTGCAAGAAAACTGGGGAGGGCTGATGTTAATGGACATATGTGATGTGGGTACATATGCGCACGTCTTCGAATTCATATGGGTGCGCACACACACAAACACAAACACCAACTCAGCGTGTGCTTTTCTTTGTGCAACCATGTACGTGTATATATGTGGGTTGTACTGAGTTTAGAACATAATGCGTGCAGATTAGCGGTGTGCTTCACGCACGATCAAATCAGATGCGCCATGGTTTCCGCGTACTTTCACTTTCTGCAGGCCATGGTCGTGATTTCAAAATGGAAGCCATGAGCCATGCAGTCCAACATCCTACCAAGCCCAAAAATGTTTGACCATGCCCACAGTCACCTGGGTGAAGCGGCGCAGGCGCAAATGAGCCAGGCCTAGGCGACAAACCAACGGGCTCAACCAAAATGATAAGCATTGCTACTCCCTGTTGAAGGGGACCTTTCACTTTGCCAAATCACAAATACTTTGCTCGTGCGATAATGGCTTAACGTGGCTTCTAAAGTACCCCACGATCCGTTCATGCTTAGGCCCTGGCAGTGTCTTAGATTTGGCCCAACAAAACAATTTGCCGGCCCATCCGGCTTTTTGCTTGCTCACTTGTCGGGGTGGCCGGCATCGTGCACGTGAAATATGTGCGTCCAAGACCTGCCCCCCTTGCCGCACAAGCTCGTGTTGTGGGTTGGGGGTTCCCTTCGAATCGTTTGCAACATGTCAATTTAAATTTACGCGCCTTTGGCTTGCTAGGATGGTCCTTTATTTTTTACGGGCAAAGGCTTGCCGGCTGTGGGCAGAAAGGTTCCGGGCTGAGGCCCCAATCCGCATCTTTTGCCGACCGTTCCCAAGGTCCATTGCAGAAAAGATGCTTTTGAGATGAAGGCCAGGTGATTGGCCTGTCTGGCGTTAATATTGGAAGCCTCTTGTTCCTGGCCGCAAACAAAACACTGGAAACAGTCACATGGTCCAGGCTCAGCCAACCCCAAGCAATGATAATTGCTCCAGCGGCAGCAAGGGTCAGCCTCTTTTTCGTGCTTAGATATTTGTCCGTTTCTAGCAACCCCAAACTACAAAACAAAATCAACAATGGGGTTCTTTTCAGGGTCAACCCTTTCAAGTATCCATTTACGCCGCACAAATACACAGTGTGGCTGTGTTGGGCCTGCGGCAACACCGTAAGGATATACTGAACTGTGAAATGTGAAACGATAGCTACAGACTAAAACAAGGTCGCGTCACCGATCAGGGCGCTGGATGTGAATTCCTCAAACACCTTCCAACAACCTTGCTTCATGGATAAAACAGCTCCGGCAGGCGTGGCCAATGGTCTGGCCTTGCATTGAACCGCCATTGGAAGGCGTCCATGCCAAGAAATGCGAACCAACCTGAGACAAATAAATTCAGTCTAGAGTCTAAAACGGTTTATGTGCCTTGCTTCGCGTGAAAACTTGACCAGAAATAAGGAGCCACGTCAGCATCTGTGCCACAGTCGTGGTTGTCAGACAAAAAGACATGGGGCTACAGCCGTGGCAGCTTCCAGCGGGCTGGCCACGCAGGCCCAATGCTCAAGTTGTCACAGCACACTGCCGCAACACATGAGTCATAACAAAAACTGGCTTAAAATGGCCTACCAAGAACCATGTAAGGAATGTAGAAAGGCGGCTGCGCCCATTTCTAGTTGGAATTGTCCCTTACTAACCTTCATCTACCCGGGTTTGATTGTGGATCACAAAAAAGAGGCACCGGCGACTATAATGGGTGGCGTGAAAAAACAAATAGGATCGAAAACTGGGCATTCATGTGCGTGTGGAAAAAACGGATTCCTCACGCAGAATGGCACGGACTCATGCTAATGCATTTGCACAAGGGTGCTAAACTCTAGGCGCGTGCGGAAAGCAACATGATTCCTCACGCAGAAAAACACGAGCTACATATGCATGCGCGCAGCCGGCCTTTCTCTCTTTCTGTGGCTCAACGTGAAGTGGCCTGCTCGAAGGATTTGTTGGGGAAGGTTCACTTCGAGGACCACACATTGAGCAAGGCCCTAAGTAACACAACACATGGAAAAGGAGCGGGGCAGGCAAGTAGCTTGACCATTGTAGGCAGGCTTAGGTTTGCAGAGCTTTCGTTGCTTCCTGCACGCTCGACAGGCCGAGCCCCAGCTTGTCCCAAGAGATGGAGCAAAAACAGCATCGCTTCCGCGGGGAAAGCGGAAAGAGATAGTGTCGGCCAATTAACCCTGGCCCCTCCACCAGCCCCATGGTGCTGCACACGCCAGCATCTGAGAGGTGTCTAACGCGGGGCCCTGTCTGCATACGGGTCAAGAGATAGGACGCGTCCTTTTTTGTGCAACAAGGACAACAGATTGGAACTTCCAGCAACAAAGTCGAAGCTCAACATGCACGAATATCGCCATGGCGCAAAGTGACATGTAAGCAGCGAAGCGCAACATGAGGCGAGCAAGTTGAGGAGCGTACCGACATTTGAGGAAGGCATTTGTTTGTTGGCCCCTGCTTGCCTGCCTGCCTTTCTTCCCTCAAACTTGCCTTTGCCTGGGGCGGGCTCCAAAGAAAACACGCCTTCTCGCGCGAACTGAGGCCCGAGCCGTCTTCAGTAGGACATGCGCCCTGAGCGGGCTCGGCTGCCAGGAATTTCCGCGTGCCCAAACCCCGAAATTTCTTGTCTTGCGGCGTGAGGGGCGTCGCACTTGCCCAAAGGCACTTCCCCAGGTCGTGTCGTTTGCCCGACCACAAAGTCGCTGTGCAACCTTCACGGCTTCGACTACCACCACTTGAAACAAAGCTCTCTGCGCAAGCTATCCCTGCGCCATCCTGGGCAAGTTCTCTTCGCAAGCTTTCTCCGCAAGACGCGTGTGCAAATTTCTGTGTTCCAAGCATGTGGGTCCGCCAAGCTCTCCTTGCGATCCCTGCGCAAGTTCTCTCTCCGTGAGCTGCACAAGTTCTCTCTCTGCAAGATTTCTCTGCGCAGGATCTCCGTGGAAGTTGTTCCGTTCAAGTTCTTGGCTCAATTCTTTCTACGCAAGTTTCTTCAAGTTCTCCATGAACGTTTGTCTGCGCAAGTCCTTGACACAAGACCCTCTGCGCACGGTTGCGATTTTCGAGCCTGGGGCCCCTCGCTTCCAGAAGCGGGGGCGCAGCCGGGGAGACAAACTGTCAAGCCCAGTTCTAAACTTCAACAACCCGTCTCACCACGTGCTCGCGCAGAGGGTCGGACGGGAAGGGGTGATGCCCTCAACGCCCTGAAGGTCGATCAAATCGACCGCACGGGCGTGCCACAAAGTAGTAAAAAGCTTCAGCGTTTGATTGTCGACACGTCTTAATGCTAAAAGTAGTAAAGACTGGTCGGTCCTGCCACGACGGCTTTCCATTTAAGCTGCGCGTGCGGGGTCTTCTGGCAAAAGGTTTTGCAGTTCGACGGGAGAGCGTGGCTTTCAGATCGTGTGCGACGGATCGGCGCCGGGTACGTGGCGGTGTGCTCTGGCGCGCTCGGCGCGTACTCGGTGCACTCAGTGTGCTCGCTGTGCAGCGGCCGCAACGAGGTTTTGGGCTAAGTTGCGCACGCGACTCTTCCGGCGCACGCCTTCCGGCGCCATCTCACGCGCAACCACTCAACGCAATCTCACGTGCAATCACTCCGGGCAACCTCTCTGAGCAATGTCTCCGCGACACCTTTCCTGGACATCTCTTGGCACAAACTCACATACAATCACTCCAAGATGATATGTCTTTGTGTAATTTCTCGGGTGGCCTCTTGGTGACATTTCTTTGCGCGATCTCTCGGACAACCTCTTGGCGACATTTATCTGCGCAATCTCTTGGGTGTTGTCTGAGCGGCGCAATCTCTGGCGCGATCTCTTGGTAAAAGCCCTGGGTGGAACCTCTCAGCAGTTTTTACCGGAAAACCCTCTCCGTGCTTTTGTGAGAACTGCAACTTTAATTTCCGAAGCTGTTGCCGACACTGTTGCAAGGGATGCTTTCCAAACTGAAAGTGACCTATCCGGGAAGTGCAATTTTCTTTCCTGATAAGCTCATTAAGAGAACGCTCCCCCCTTGAAGGTAGCACCCCCCAACGCGACAAAGCCCTGACGCAGACCAATCCCAACAGTAAAGCACCGCAGCTGGCGTGTAGTTCCACCTTGGGGGGCCCAAGGCTTGAACATCAGTTCAGAGACTGGTTCGTAGGAGCCAACCATCTGCTTTCCCATTGCGTTTGAAGAGGATTTAGGTGTGCCAAAAAAAGAAGCGGACGCTTCTTGGGCGGTGTTGAAAGGGCGCCCGCAAGGAATCGACCAGTGTCAATTGTTCTCTCTAAATCACGAAGCAAGTGAGTTGTTTGTTCCCACGAACGGAGCCCCCGCCTGCCACTGCGCCACCGGCGAGATGCCCCCCCACTTGTGCGTGCCGAACTCGAGCACGTGTCCGTCCTCCACGGATTGCTTCCATTGCCTTCGGTCCCATTTGAGGACATGGAGGGCAATCAAGAAGTGAGGACGCTGTAACTCATAACTTGAGAGTCTTGGGAACTGCGGGACGATGTTGTGTTCCCATATTTCCAACGGATACGCGATTTTTCGGCATGTTGACACCCGCGGAAAGCTCGGCCTTCCTGCAGCCAAGGGTATCCCTTGAACCTTTGCTGGGCGCTCTCAGTCAGCATCCGCGAGGGTTGGGCTGTCAGTCGTCTGCAAGAGCTTTGCAAGATCAGGCGCAACTCTGACTGAGCGGTGGGTGGGTAACATTGTTGTAGTCCGTCCGAGCCCAAGATAGGCTTCAACGCATCGGAGTTCAACGCATCATCATCTGGGAAAACATAATAACACGCCAACCTGAAACTTGTTCGGGCGTGTGCTGCTGAGGCTTGAGCGCTGGACGGCGCAGTTCCCAGACCCACTAGAGCTTACCGATTTCCAGTCGGTGCAGAACATGGCCATCTGCGCTAGATCAACCCTGTCGTGACAGGCGAAGCTGCCTTAGACACAGCGCTTCGAGAACAGATGCAAGCTTGCTTTGGAGGGTAGTCGACCGGCGCGCGACTCACAGCGCCAATGTTTGGCGCTGCGGCTTGTATTTGACGGACTGCGGGCTGTAGGCGCCCCGCCCTTTCATGTGGCCGCTGCCAGCACTCTCCCACACCAACGGAGCGCACGAGTTTGCATCAATTCACTGCGTCTGCAGCAGACTCGCAGATTCCCCTATAACAGGACAGGTGACATCAACGTTCCTTGAGACCAGGGGGGGTCAAAGCTGGGCCGCTCCCAGCGTGAACAAAGCGCAACTGCCCTGACGCGTTGCAGCGCGGAGATACCTTCCTGCGTTGCTGGCCAATTGCTTAGAGGGACTGCCATGAGTGGAACGTTGTCAGGAGCATTTCATTCAGCAACCTTGCGCGTTGTAGCTGTTAGGCATCAACCACACACGTTGGCATTATGCGGAACCTGAGGCGCGAAAATTGCAGTGAGATAGATTTTGCACAGATGTCGGTGCTAAAAAGTGTCCTGAAGGCAAGGCAACAAGGCAAAACCTGTTTCAAAGCGGTATCCAGAAAGACGTACAATAGTTCTGCAACACCAGTGTCACAATCTATACGCTTGTAAAGATTGCTTTTCAGTAATTTTAGTGGTTCATGGTGCGCAGGAGAAATTACAAGCGCCTTTCGGTTCCATATTGCACTGTTCAGACCCTAGTGTAAAGTTTGACTTGCGTTTTCAAGTTTTACATTAATGGCAAGAAACAGGTAGCTACTTAGTAGCGCAATACCGACAACAAGTTTTCTTCCAACAATCCTGACAAAAGTAGTCTCTTTTTTAAGATGGATGCAGAAGAGGACCTTAGAAGTTTCAATTGCAAAATGAACAAAATGAGGCTCCCTCACGAGAACCAAGGCCGCAATTGGCACTCCTCCAGGCTGCGGCGGAGGACGGCGCCGGTGCCGGTGGCGATGGTCAACTCATTGGGTCCCAAGGCCAGCGACACCTTGAGGCGAGAGGTGAAATGGTTTACAAGCTGATATTTCGGTTTGTTTAAGTTCCTGTTTAAGTTCCTGTTTAAGTTCTTGTTTAAGTTATTGTTTAAGTTCTTGTTTGGTTTTGTGTCTCGGTTTGTTTGCTTGTGGCTTGGTTTGCTCGCTTGCTGTCAGCTTCCTTTTGTTGCCCTTTTGAAAACCACTCAGAAAAGGAGGTGCTCTTTTCTGTTGAGGAACCCGCATGCGAACGATCAACGGGGCAAAGCTACGGCCCCCCCCCGCCCCCAAATAACAAAACTAGCAAACGGATGGCCCGAAAGCATTTTCCCTGACGCACAGCCGGAATCAGTCCAAATGTGCATTTCACTTTCTACTCTGCGCGTGCCTCATTGCTCGCCCTACGCATGCCTGTATGCACTTCACTCCAAACTTGCCTTACGCATGCCTCTATGCATTTCACCGTCTACCTTCCCTGCGCGTGCCTCTATGCATTTCAATGTCTACTTTCCCTGCGCATGCGTCTATGCACTTCACTCTGCTTGCCCTGCGCACGCCTCTACGCATTTCACTGTCTACTCTGTGCGTGCCGCTATGCATTTCACTGTCTACTTTCCCCGCGCATCTATGCGCTTCACTCTGCGCTTGCCCTACGCATGCGATTCACTGTCTACTTTCCCTGCGCATGCCTCTATGCGCTTCACTCTGTACTTGCCCTGCCCACGCCTCTATGCATTGCACTGTCTACTCTGCGCATGCCTCCATGCAGTTCACTGTCTACTTTCCCTGTTCATGCATCTGCGCACTTCGCTCTGCGCTTGCCGCGCGCATTCCTCCACGCGTTTCACTGTCTACGCTGTGCCTGCCACTATGCATTTCACTCTATACTTTCCCTGCGCATGCCTCTATGCATTTCAATGTGCGCTCTCCCTACGCATGCCTCTATGAGTTTCACTCTGTACTTGCCCTGCGAAGGCCTGGACATGCCTCTGTGCGTTTCACTGTCAACTTTCCCCCATGCATGATTGAACTTCACTCTGTACTTGCCCTATGCAGTTCACTGTCTACTTTCCCTGCGCGTGCCTCTACGCAGTTCACTGTCTACTCTCCCTGCGCATGCATCTACGCACTTCACTCTGCGCTTGCCCTATGCGTGCCCTATACATTTCACTGTCTACTTTGTGCGCGCCACTATGCATTTCACTCTGTACTTTCCCTACGCATGCCTCTACGCAGTTCACTGTGCACTCTCCCTATGCGCGCCTCTACGCATTGCACTCTGTACTTCACCTACGCATGCCCAGTGCTTTTTACTGTGCACCTTCTCTACGCATGCCTCTACGCATTTCACTGTCTATTTTGCTACCTTGCAGCCGGAGCTGCGGGGACGTACTTCGCGTGCTACTTTTGTACTCAAAAGTTGCGACTTCGCAGCCGGAGCTGCGGGGACGTGCTTCGTGTACTACTTGTGTACTTTAAAGTTGCGACTTTGCAGCCTGATCAGCCCGCGAAGATATGCGACTGCGCATGCACGCATGCGCTTCACCCTGCGCTTGCCCGCATGCCTCTATGCGTTTCACGGTCTACTTTCCTTGGGCATGCCTCAATTTCTGTACTTGCCGCGCATGCCTCTATGCATTTCACTCTGTACTTTCTACGCATGTACCCTCTCCCTGCGCATGCTCCCTGCGCATCTGTGCATTTCACTCTGCGCTTGCCCTACGCATGCCTTTGTGCATTTCACTGTCTACTCTGCGCACGCCTGTATGCATTTCACTGTCTACTTTCCCTGCGGGTGCATCTATGCACTTCACTCTGTACTTGCTCTACGCATGCCTCTACGCATTTCACTGCGCACTCTCCCTGCTGATGCCTCTTTGCGTTGCACTCTGTGCTTTACCTACGCAATGCCCAATGCGTTTTACTGTGCATCCTTTCTATGCATGCCTCTACGCATTTCACTATCTATTTTGCTACCTGGCGGCCAGAGCTGCGAGACGTACTTTGCGCGCTACTTTTGTACTTAACAGATACGACTTTGCAGCCGGGACGTGCTTCGTGTACTACTTTTGTGCTTAAAAGTTGCGACTTTGCAGGGGACGTACTTCGCGTGCTACTTGTGTACTTTAAAGTTGCGACTTTGCAGCCTGATCGCTGCAGACCATACGAGGATACACACGGGGCCACAGCGAGAGCGATCTGACCACATCCCCGCAGAGGGTCGCGCGCGCACGGCAAGAGTCGGCAGCTTTTGCAGATCGACCCCGCCGATCGCCGCAGAGGGCCGCGCGCGCGCGCGCCGCAAGAATCAAGCCAAAGAAAAAAGAAGCTATAGCACCTCGGCCACGCCGATCCCTGCAGAGGGTCGCACGCACCGCAACCATCGCAAAAAAAAACAACACACAGTTTGTGCAGCTCGACGACGACGATCTTTGCAGAGGGTTGCGCACGCACGGGCAAGAATCGAAAAAAAACGTTTTTTGCGCATTCACCAAGGCCGGTCCGCGCAGAGGGTCGCGCACGTCACGCAAGAATTTGAAAAAAAAACAAAACCTTCAATTTTCGCACATCGACCACGCCGATCCCCGCAGAGGGGGCGCGCGAATCGCAAGAATCGCAAAAACTTCAGTTTTTGCACATCGACCGCGCCGACCCAAACTCATTTTCGCAGAGCGCGCTTGGCCCCACCGCGCCGCCCTAAGATACTAATCTTAAGAAAGCGCGCGAGTTTCCTGATGCAAGTTACGCTCGTGTGAGAAGGAACGGAAGATCGCTACGCATACTTTCCCTGCGCATAACTCTACTTTCCCTGCGCATGCCCTTATGCGTTTCACTGTCTACTTACCCTAATGCGTTCCTACGCGTTTCACTCTGTCACGCATGCCTCTACGCATTTCACTGTTTATTGTCTCCCTGAGTCGCGGCGCGAATGTTGCGCAACGGAGCTACTTCTGCGCGTCGAGTCGCACTCGCTCCGGCGCAACTCGAAGTCAGAGCGTGTGAGATCGCTCGCGCTGCTCTGTGCAAGATTCACACAATAGGCGGCGCGTTGGACGAAAGAATTGCTCCTTGCCTGTTACCCCCGCCCTTACCCCCCAGTGCGACGAATGGGTGGCCACATACTCCAAGACGTTCCCTTTTCGTGGTGTTCGACTCCCCCCCAAACCACCTGTCCGCATCACCTACCCTGCAAAAAAACCGAAGGACCGTGTGTATAGGTCCTCTTTAAGCCCCCGGGGCAAGAAGAAACAGAAACAAGTATCCCACGCTTTGAAACACACAGACATGCCAGAACACTCGCTGGAACATGCACTGTCGCAAATGTAACCGGCGCAGCCAAATTTGAATAACACAAGCAAGCAAACAATCAAACTTGCATGCAGAAAAAACAAACAACAAGCAAGCGAACAAGCAAGCAAACGAAAGACAGAAAGCAAGCAAATGAAAGAAAGCAAGCAAACGCAAGAAAAGAAAGAAAGAAAGAAAGAAAGAAAGAAAAAAGAGAAAAAGAAAGAAAGAAAGAAACAAGAAAGAAAAAAGAAAAAAAGAAAGAAAGAAACAAGAAAGAAAGAAAGAAAAAAAGAAACAAAGAAAGCAAGAAAGAAAGAAAGTGTAATTCGGGCAGGAGCCTGCGCCCAGTGATTAGGAAAGGCCCCAAAATAACCAGTCCCCAGTCCCAAAGCCTAGGGGTTCCAACGCGCGAGCAACCAAACAACGACAGGAAAACAGTAAACCAGAAAAGGGATGCCCGCAGCCTATGCCAACGATGAACCGCGAGGGCGAACCCCACCAACCTGCCCCGGGCCGAAGTCGCTTTCTCCTCCGACACGTAGCTGATCGACGTTGTGGGAGACGGCGACGCTATCCGAGGCCGCGACAGATCCAAAACAGAAGCGCAACGTCGACACCTGCAACGCATGGCTAATCACATCCCCCCTCACAAGAAGTCCGTGTCTGACGGGCTGGGCTGCAGCAGGACACAGCAGTCCCGTGAAGGTTGTTGCCCCACGAAATCCCGGGCATGAGCCTTGACAACCGTTCCACAGCATTTTACAGGGCCAAACTGCTCGCGACCGCAATTGCAACTGTTCACGCCCATCTGGGGATTTCAGGGCCGTGCCGCATTTCCACAGTTTTTCACAGATTTCCACGGTCAAGTGACGGATTTTCACGGCCTTTTCGCGGATTATTGCGGCCTTTCGCAGCTCACACTCACTCACACACACTCACACACACACACACTCACTCACACACACTCACTCACACACTCACTCACTCACTCACCCACTCACTTCACTCACGCACTTACTCACTCACTCTCTCTTGCAGGGGCAACATATGGCAGCTGTCTAAAGGGACTGGATGTTGTCGAGCGCGCGGCTCGGGGGCTCAATCTGCGTGACAGGCGCAGCACTTTGGAGATGGCTTGCAAAATTTCGTGGCAGGCGCAGTATTTTCTGCATCTGGGTGTGTGTTTGCGTGGCAGGGGCAGCATTTGGTAGGTGTCTACAGGGACTGGATGTTGTCGAGCGCGCGGCTCGGGGGCTCAATCTGCGTGACAGGCGCAGCACTTTGGAGATGGTGCACAGATTTCGTGGCAGGCGCAGTATTTTCTGCATCTGGGTGTGTGTTTGCGTGGCAGGGGCAGCATTTGGTAGGTGTCTAAAGGGACTGGATGTTGTCGAGCGCGCGCTCGGGGGCTCAATCTGCGTGACAGGCGCAGCACTTTGGAGATGGCTTGCAAATTTCGTGACAGGCGCAGTATTTTCTGCATGTGTTTGCGTGGCAGGGGCAGCATTTGGCAGCTGCCTAAAGGGGCTGGATGTCTTCGAGCGCGCGGCTCGGGGGCTCAATCTGCGTGACAGGCGCAGCACTTTGGAGATGGCGCACAGATTTCGTGGCAGGCGCAGCATTTTCTGCATCTGGGTGTGTGTTTGCGTGGCAGGGGCAGCATTTGGTAGGTGTGTAAAGGGTCAATCTGCGTGACAGGCGCAGCACTTTGGAGACGGGGCAT